TATATTCTTACTTGAAATTAGGACAGTTGTCAGAAAAGCTTTGGCTTAGTTTTGGGAGTAATCAGAAAAAGGCTATTATTTCCAACAGTCATAGCTGTCCTTTGTATTACACAGGATGAAAAAGAAGCTTAAATGTCAGTTTAGAGAAAATTAGAATAAAATTTAGACAGTTTATGGTCACAGATTTTTTTTTTCTTGTTAGTTGTAGTCTGAAACAAAATCAGCTCAGAACAAATTAATCTGAGTCAAGGAAATAAGAGTGACCCATTCGGATTTCAAGGGGAAGGCCAAGGAAGTAAAATAACATTATATTTTACAACACTGAAAAAAAGTAAACCCTTTCCGATACTACAGGAAAAATTAACTTCAGTTGCACATCACAAGTTATCTTTAACAAGGGAAGCTCTTGTGAGACCCTTCCCAGAATACTATGTCCAGCTCCTGTTTGTTTCTATTTTACTTTGTTAAATATAGTCTTAGGATAAAAGATGTCCTTTTTTTTTTTTTTTTTTTTTTCATTCCCTCTAGACTGTCTTACCTTTTTTAAAATCCCATGACTGGGAGGTGATCTGGAAAGCAGATCTGATTCCCCTCCCAGCAGTATCAACAGTGCAATGTACATTGATGTCACTCACAGTGAAATCCGTAAGTTATTTACAGGGCAATCCATTGCCTACCCCCRGCCCTGACAAACCATGACCTGAGGATGAGCACCAGGGGGTTGCCATGGGCACAATGGAGAAAAATTATGGACAAAGTGTAGTATTTTGGTTTAATTACTTGCTGCTATCCCTATATGTGCTTTATGATCTTAAACCATACATGGAAAGCACAAGGTTTGGAAGCTAATGGGAAGTGCAGATGCTGATCAATAAGCATGTGATGGGGATTTTAAGGAGAAAATGAAATGTTGTGAGATCTGCTGTGGAAGTAYGAGCTGTTGGGTGTTCATCTGGAGAAGCACTGGGAATGGAGCTAGAGGAGAAACATCTGTTCCCAGTGTGAGTGATTTTACCCCAATGCTCGAGCTTGTTTGCAGCTCTGTTAAGTGGGTCACTGCAGTGGAAATTGCTCATCACTGGGGAAATGGATAGATTTTTAAAATTTGCTGCCATTACCCACCACTTTCTCACGGTTTGACAGGCTCATGGTTACCCATCTGAGCAAACATGGAAAATGACACAGGGACAGGATGTGTTGCCCCAGACGAACTCTCAGTAAACTTTGCAGCCAGATAAAACAAGGATGGTTTAATATATCATGAAATTACTAAGCATTAGGATTTAATTTAGGAAAAATGTATTATTTATTAAAGCACTCTCACAGAAACTACATACCCAAGAAAGGATRTGCCATCCTAAGACTGTCTTGCAGTTTTGACCATCTCACATATAATCTCTCCAGTACCTTATAAAACATTTCAAATCTCTGGACAGATGAAAACTTTCAGAAAAAAAAGATCCTTTCCTAAGATACCTGAGCTAATGTAAACATCCCAAACATGTAGGACAAGCAGAATTTGAGCTCAGATGACTTCTGGAGTTCATTCTTAGAATCACTACTCTATGCCATGTTAAATCAGGATTAAATATTAACTAGATTGATACATATGGGAAAGACAAAGCTGTCTCTGGCTCCAGAAACCCAACACTAGATTCTAATGATGGAAGAGTTCCAAGGCATRTTACTAGAAAGGATATTTTTGCACCTGTTGAACTCTTAGCTCTTGTTTTCAGGTGTCTGCTGGGTGTTTCCTTTTTCTCAACCYTCATGGTAGTTAAAATGCCTGGCAGCTTGCCTGAGAAGTTTATTCCAATATTTCATTGTGAAAATGAATTCAAGAGGACCCAGAGATGCCAATGTCTTATAAAGCCATGTGACTCGAGGTCCGTGTCTTCCCACACARCATCCTCCTGTCTCCCTCCAGGAGAGGGATACATTCCTAAACCAATTTGAGCTGAAGTAAGGCATTGTAGATATGTCCTTCTGTCCATTGATAAACCAAGGTCAAAGCTGAATGAGGATTTTAATCTTTTTAGAAACCCTGTACTCAACTCTCTGGGTACATAATCTTTCCAGCCATATTAAAGCAGTTATTGATTCCCTTGTAAACTGCCAGAGAACACAATGAATGTGAAATGGAGGTGTTCATTATTTTGCTTTGAAGTTCAGCTGCTTTGTGACCTTAAACAATTTTCTTCTTAGTATTTTACCTTGATTTTATATGCTATGTCTGTGACTCACTACATTAAACTAAGGTACTTATATTTAGAATATAGACTTCCAGCATGCTGGAAACTCCCTCTTTATGAGATGCAGTCCAGATCTCAGATGTAATAAATGTCTCTTCTGTGAAAAGATAAATTTTTCCCACCAGTAATGACATAATCTCACTTGGCTTGATCCTGCAAGAGCTCTTCTGATGCTTTCTGAGCCTTGATGCAGCAAGTACTCTCCTCCTGCTGCAAAACCACTCTGAGCAGCTCCTCACCTGTCCACTGATCATGGATTGCTCCTTTTCCAGTGGTCTTAGGATGGGGTAAAAGGTGTTATTTCTATAAATAAAACTGGTAGCAAACACAACTAAWCAGTAATGCTTAGGAAAAAATAATTCTGCAACAGAAAACAAAATGTTCCCKGTTTGAAGTGCATGGACTCTGTTATGCCTGCAGTCATTGTGACCCATGCAAGCTTTCCTCCGAAATACTCTGCTGGTTCAGAGAGGGGAAAAAAGGGTACCTGACTCATGGGAATAAGTCAAAAAGGCTTACAGTCCCTTTATCTAAAAAAAAAAGAAAAATGCTCTGATTACCTAGAGGGCTTTAGTTATTTAAATTCAGTGTTAAAACTCACAGTTTGTCC